CCATTACCCTCACAGTAAAGAAGTTTCTCCTCATGTTGAGGTGGAACTTCCTATGTTCTAAGTTAAACCCACTATTTCTTGTTCTATTACTGGGCACCACCGACATTGTCCCCTTCCCCTTGACACCCACCCCTCAGATATTTGTACACGTTAATAAGGTTCCCTCTCAGCCGTCTCCTTTCAAGGCTAAACAGCCCCAGTTCTCTCAGTCTCTCTTCACAGGAGAGATGGTCAAGTCCCTTAATCATCCTCGTAGCTCTCCGTTGGACTCTCTCCAGTAGGTCCCTGTCTCTCTTGAATTGGGGAGCCCTAAACTGGACACAGGATTCCAGGTGTGGTCTCACCAGGGCAGAGTAGAGGGGAAGGAGAACCTCCCTAGACCTACTGGACACACTTTTCTCAATGCACCCCAGGATCCCATTGGCCCTCTTGGCCACAAGGGCACATTTGCTGTCCCATGGACAATTCACTGTCCACTAGACTCCAAGGGCTTTCTCCATGGGGCTGCTTTCCAGCAGGACATCCCCTAATCTGTACTGGTGTCTGGTGTTATTCCCCCCCAGATGCAGGACTCTACAGTTGTCCTTATTGAACTTCATGAGGTTCCCCTTTGCCCAGCTCTCCAGCTGTCTCTCCAGCCTGTCCAGATCTCGCTGGATGGCAGCACAGCCTTCCTGTGTGTCAGCCACCCCTCCCAGCTTTGTATCATCAGTGAACTTGCTGAGGGTGCACTCTATCTCCTCATCCAGGTCGTTAATGATGATACTTAACAAAACTGGACCCAGCACTGATCCCTGGGGAACACCACTGGCCACAGGCCTCCAATTTGACTCTGTGCCGCTGATCACAACCCTCTGAACCCTGCTGCTGAGCCAGTTAACAATCCACCTCACAGTCCAATCATCTATCCCACACTTCTTGAATTTACCTACGAGGATGTAATGGGAGACAGTATCGAAAGCCTTACTGAAGTCGAGGTATATGAAATCAACTGCTCTCCCTTCTTCAATCCATTTGGTCACGTCTTCATAGAAGAATATCAGATTAGTCAGGCTAGATTTCCCCTTGGTAAATCCATGCTGGCTACTCCTGATAACTTTTTTCTCTTCCAATTGATTAGAGATGGCCTCCAGAATGAGCTGCTCCACAGTCTTTCCAGGGATGGAGGTGAGGCTGACCAGCTTGTAGTTGCCCGGCTCCTCCTTCTTGCCTTTTAAATGATGAAGCAGCTATGATACTTCTATCATAGAAATAAGAGATGAATTTACAAGTAGAGGCAAGGTGATTTTTTTTAAAGTCAAGCACTTATCGCATTTTTCTCCTGTATCTGCAAACACAAAAGAACCAC